TGGTTGAAGAAATTTTTGCAAGAGTTGGGTTTAAAGCAAGAAAAGTATGTGCTTTATTGTGATAGTCAAAGTGCTATTCACTTGAGTAAAAATTCTACTTTTCATTCGAGATCGAAACACATTGATGTGAGATACCATTGGATTCGTGATGTGTTAGATTCGAAATTGTTACAACTCGAAAAGGTTCACACAGATGATAATATTTCAGATATGTTGACAAAGACTTTATCGAGGGACAAATATTTAAAGTGTCGAACTTTGGCGGGTATGGTTGATGTCTCCACCTAAGTCGGTAGGGGGAGAATTGTTGGGTATACCTCATTATTGGAGTGTGGGACCCAATTGATTTGTTAAAGAATTTTAATTTGAGCTGGTTTAGGTATAATATATTTTTATATATTATATTTGAGGAGACCCAATCCAATTTGGAAACAATTAGGGTTTGATTACAAAACCCTAGATTCAATATATTATTGGCATTGTTTTTTCCGAAGAAAAAGGTGAGCGGCAGCAGCAAAGCTTTAGGTGAGAGTGCTTGGTGTATAACTTAATTTGGTGGGTTTCAATTGGTATTGTTTTGTTGCTTTGTATTTGACTTGGTCAATTCAAGAATTGGTGCTTTGGTTTGCTACTCTGTTTTGAAGCGGTTGTCCACTTGCAGGTCACTTCAAGCTTAGTTCGAATCAATGTCCTACAGTGAGAAAGATAAAGAAGAGATGTTGAAAGTTCCTTACGCTTCAGCAGTTGGTTCTTTGATGTACACCATGGTTTGTACAAGGCCGGATATTGCTCACGCTGTTGGTGTGGTGAGTCGTTTTTTTTCTAATCCGGGTAAAGAACATTGGGCAGCGGTAAAATGGATTTTAAGATATCTTCGAGGGACTTCGAAGGTGTGTTTGTGTTTTGGGGATGGTAAGCCGATGCTTGATGGGTTCACAGATTCTGACATGGCCGGTGATATTGATTCTAGGAAATCTACTTCGGGGTATTTGATGACTTTTGCAGGGGGAGCTGTGGCATGGCAATCTAAATTACAAAAATGTGTTGCTCTCTCAACTACCGAAGCTGAATTTATTGCCATTACAGAAGCTAGCAAAGAAGAGTTATGGCTGAAGATTTATTTGTGATTATTTGGAATTCACCTAAGGGTGGTTTTGTGAGACCATTAGTGTCTCTTTTGTAATCGTCTGGAACTTATTTGGTTGATAGTGGAATCGGATTTCGATCCCGTGGACGTACCTCACATTGAGGGAACTATGTAAAATTCTTGTGTTGCCTTTGATTTAATTTTTCCGCATTAGATTTTATTCCCATTGATTAATTTACTTGTGGGAAATCATTTATTTTTCCTAACAAACTTGACACCATCGGAACACAATGTTATTAGGACAACACACCAACGCCACAACAAGCTACAAATTAGTGTCTCGTTTGTAATCGTCTGGAACTTATTTGGTTGATAGTGGAATCGGATTTCGATCCCGTGGACGTACCTCACATTGAGGGAACCACGTAAAATTCTTGTCTTTGATTTAATTTTTCCGCATTAGTTTTTATTCCCATTGATTGATTTACTTGTGGGGAATCATTGATTTTCCCTAACAACTAGTCTCAAAGACGAGGGTGACAAGTTTATGGCATTGGAAGCGTCACACCACGTACCTCATATGAAATTTGGGTATGATTTCTCTCAAGGTTACGAGGATTTTGATTCGAGAGCAGAGATCTTTAAAGAGATCATGAAAGCTTTGGAAGATCTGCGCGTTAAAATGATTGGTGTATATGGAGCAGGCGGTGTTGGCAAGATCACTATGGTGGTAGAGGTAGGCAATCTAGCAAAGCGAAATGGGCTTTTCGATGATGTTGCCATGGCAACTGTTTCACAAACTCTCGATGAGAAAATTGTTAAAGAACCCAATTGGGACTAACACTGAATGGAATTGCAGGTCAACTATATCGTAAATTGAACAATGGGAAAAAGAACCTTGTAATATTGGATGACGTTTGGGACAATTTTAATTTTGCAGACATTGAACTTCCAATTACAATGGCAACAACAGCTGCAAAGTTGTCATAACGTCACGGAAAAAAGGTTTGTGCCAAATGATACCAATGCCAGTTGCTCAGGAAGATTCCTTGATTGGAGTGCCAGAAGCATCGACAAAGGAGATCCTAATCGGTGTCTTAGCAGAGCCTGAAGCATGGACCCTATTCAAGAAAACCGTGGGAATTTCAATTGATTCTGAAATCCCTTCTGAAGCGAAGGAATTGTGTGACAAATGTGGAGGCTTGCCAGTTGCTATATGTGCAGTTACAGCAGCATTAAAAGATAAGGGCAAGCATGCGTGGAAAGATGCACTTCGACAACTAAAAAATTACAAGCTGAAAGAAATTGCAGGTATTGACCTAGATTTGTTCATCTCCTTAAAATGGAGTTATGATCGTTTAGAACCAAAGGATGCACGGTCATGCTTCTTGCTTTGCTCTTTGTTTCCGGAAGATGCTGAGATTTCAATTGATGACTTGGTGAGATACACTGTTGGGATGAGATTGCTTGATCAAAATCTGAATATATTTGATGAAGTAAGAGACAGAGTACTTGCCATGGTTGATGTCCTCAACGAATCTTGTTTGTTGTTAGATGGCACAAGCGAAAATGTGGTCAAAATGCACGATGTTATTCGAGATGTTGCACAATTGCGGAAGAGGAGAAAGGATATCTCGTGAAACATGTTATCAAAAAATGGCCAGAGAAAGACACATATGAACATTACTCGGCAATCTCATTATGGTTCACCACAAATATTCAAGAGCTTCCCGATGTGTTGGAATGTACAAGACTCCATACCTTGGTGTTGAAATGCAGGGACTCTTCACCCACAGATGTTAAAAATAGTTTTTTCAATGGGATGGAGAACAATCTTGAAATCCTAGATCTGAGTGAAATGTCATTAAAGAGCTCCCCGTCATTGCTTCCAAGGTTGGTTAAGCTTCAGATGTTATGTCTAAATGGCCTATCAAGGGACATAGCTCTATTGGGGAGATTAAAGAACCTTGAGATACTTAGCCTTCATGGGATTGAGGAGCTGGCACCAGAGATTAGAGAGTTGACTAGTCTACGGTTGCTAAATTTGGAAAATTGTACCAACTTAAGAGTAATTCTACCAAATTATACATTTTAGATACCTTTGACCAATGGGAAGTTGAAGGAACTGACCAACAGCGAGAGAACGCAAGCCTTCTTGAATTGAATTCGCTGACACTATTAAAGACTTTAAAAGTTCATATGCCAAGGTCAATGTCATTGCCCAAGTTGACTAGATTTAGCATATCAATTGGCACTACAACAAAAGTAACTTATGGTGACAAAAAATAGTGAAGAAAATAATTTCGTCACTAAATAAGAATAATCCATGACGAATTATTAAATTTTGTCACATATAATAAAAAAATAAAAATAATAGGTGACGAAATTTATTTTCGTCAACAAATACTTTTCTTGAATTAAGGCATCTTGAAGTTATAGAATGTAATGATGTTGAATGTCTTCTTGGAATGCCTGCAAGGCGTCTAAAAATTCAACCACAAAGTCTGCCAGGTTCTTTTTCTAACTTGCACGAGTTACATGTTCCAAATTGTGGATTCAAATGCCTCTTCTCACTCTCCATTGCAAGAGTTCTTGCGGGCCTCATGCATCTAGAAATAGAAAACTGTGAGGATATGGAAGAAATTGTTGGAAATGAAGAGCAAGAAAATGATGAGGAAATTATTTTTCTTTAACTAAAAATAATGACGTTGCACAACATACCCAAGCTCAGGAGCTTCTTTTTGAACAATTCTAACACTCCGCAACCTCTCTTTTGTGGAAAGGTGAGTTTTTTCCAGTAACTTTTTATGTTTATTTGTCAATTCTTGGTAATTAACAGAGCATAAGTTGATATGTCAAATTTTGCAAGTGGCATTCCCTGCTTTGGAGGAATTGAGAATTTTTGATGTACATAATATATCAGTGGTATGGGACAAACATTTAGAACCCCTTGTCCAAGAAGAGAGAGAATCCTTTTGTCAATTAAGAAACCTAGCGCATCTTCGACATCTATATATACACAGATGTGCAAAATTGAAAACAATAGTAGTGGCCAATAGGAAAGAGGAGATAACGATAACCCTCTCGTATTCCCTCAACTGTATTCTATAGAACTAAATCAGTTGGAGAATTTCAAGAGTTTCTATGGCAGTTGTGGACCTGAAGAAAAAGAAGAATCAACAAAGCATGAGCTCAACGTGGAAATTCTCGAACCACAACCCCTCTTTAACCAAAAGGTACGATTGCTATAAGTTTTATGAGTTTTTAGAGGTACTAAATTTCGAATTATTCAGCTAAAATCATAAACCTCTTTGAGAAAATTGAAGGTATTAGTAGTAACTCTTTTTCAAAAATAAAAATAAAAATAAAAATTTCTATGTAGCGGTGAATTCATCTTGCGTAGTGTCACCAACCAATAAAAAATGACGGATGGGATTAAGTACATGAGTCTTGTCTCTTATTAAGCCAACCATATTGTTTTGGTTGTGTCTCAATTTTGCTTAGTTAGAAATTTCTACCAATTATTCCTTTTCTTTTAGTTCCCAAACAAAGTAAGATCTACAATGGTAGGTGTGCAAAAATAACACAGAATTTATATTGTGGTTGAGATTTATTTAAAGTATGGCTTACATCACATTCCTAATAAATTTCAGCTATACAATATATTTTGTGTACTTTTTGTATTCTAATTTTGTGCACTTAGCATTTTTGAAAGATTGACAGCTTCCAAAAGGTCTTGAAACCTAAATAACATAGACTCTAATAAACCAAAACCTTACACTTAAAATTATGCCCCATTACAAGAGATAATATTATTTCCTACCCCTAAATCCTAATCACAGTACCTATGAACTCTAACACTATGTTTGTTCACTTGCTTAGGAAATCAAAGCTCTGCCCTTCTATTGGTCTTTCTTAAATAAAAGGTTAATAATTTTCTCATTATTCCTTTTGTTATTATCAATAATACAGGTTGTGTTTCCTTGCTTGGAAGTCTTGGAAATTTGGAGTTTGGGCAACATCAAAGAGATATGGCATAGCACACCTCCAACCAACTCCTTCAACAACCTAAGACATTTGGCTGTGTTCGATTGTCAAACTTATTGAATATTGCACCATCAAAACTACTTGGAAGTTTGCAAAACCTACAATTCCTCTATGTTGACGATTGTGGCTCCCTAAAAGAGGTATTCAAAACCAAAGGATCAAATGTTGAAATCAATCCCGTGCTCTATAAATTAAAACAAGTTATGCTGTTGAATTTACCACTCTTGATAAGATTTTCCTTTGGGAGTACATTGCCACCCTCGGTAACACAGGATAATAAAAGATTGCCCCTCCTGGAGACCTCTATAGATCCCGACATACAAGAAATGTGAGAGAAGATTGGTGAATCTTTTTCCTTTTCAATGAAGAGGTATGTATTTGATTCATATTGTAGTTATGGAAAATCTTCTGTTCATTATTATTTACTTTTGTTAGCATATACTTACCTGATTAATGTTAATAATGTACAACACTAATTCAATCGAGGTTGTACACCTTTGATGGTGCAATATAACACTCATCAATGTGGTAGTTTCAAATTTTTATTGATGTCTTATTTATGTTTGACTCCCTGTAGTTGGTTGTTGCTCATAATTGCATACAAGTGATTCAATCTTGTGCTACGTTCCACCAATGTTTGCTCTGCTTTTGTGTGAAACTCCAGATTACCAAAGAAAGTTGGGTCCTATGTGGAGGTATAAAAGATGGTGGAAGGCAAAAAATATGCTGGATTGTGATTTTTTTTTTTATTATTTATAATTAGGATCAATAAAAAGTGAGAATTTTTTTTTTTTTTGGGTAAGTCCCTTGATTTGGACTGTATAATATTATTTATCAAGTCTTTATTTTATTTTATTTTTTTCCAGTGTGTACATCCTTACAACCAATAGTTATCTAGGTGGTCTTGTGTTTTGTACGTATATATGCTTTGTTTAACTTTGCTGTTTTTTGGATTGGAACTATTGGATTTCTATATGTAGCATTAGCCACTCAATTCCTTCATCGATTCACATGAGAAACTTCTAATTTTGTGTTTGATTGGGAGATTTAAAAAAAAAAATTGAAAAGAAAAAGGAAAATAGTAGATGGAATGTGAATAAAATATAATTATATTTTATTTAAGGCCTTATTTGAGATACTCTAAAAAAGTCAAAAAGTCACTATCTTATTTAAGTTACATCATCTTATTGCATCACCTCTCTACCACATCACTTTAAACTCAACTCAAATTTCACAAAAAGTCAAAAAGTGCACTTATTTAGATCACCCCAAATCATTTTTTACTTTCACACACTTTTCATTTACCGTTGTGTTTGGTTGAAAGATTTAAACAATGAAAGAGATTTGGTCTGGTCTCTAGCTTTTCCTCTTTCTTTCTCGGATTTATTTTTCTTTCACCGCGTACCACACCTTTACTTCTTCCCATCCTTCTCACCTTCAGCCACACACTGACCCACCAACCTGAACATCTATTGAATCACATATGTAAGAAAATTGGTGGATTTTCATGACGGTAGTTATTTTATTTTAGTTTATTATATGGTTTTGTAGTTTGTTATTTATAGTTCATAGAATCTTTTTGTGTGGCCCTTTGAGACTCTGTTATTTGGAAAAATTATTGTAAAAAAAATATATCTAGGGTTTGACCCTTATAATAAAGTAAATATTGAATTTTTAATTTTTGTCAAATTAAATCTTTACGTTTTTACCCCTTAATTTTTGATTTTTTTAATTCAAATTATTTTTCTATTTCCATTAAATAAAATAGACCCAAAAAGAATGATATTTTAGTCATTTAATTCAATGAAAAAGAGTATTTTAAACATTTTATATAAATTTACATTGAGTTTAATATTAAAATATTATTTTTTTGGGTTTTAATCAACAAGAATAGATAAATAATTTATATTGAACAGAAATCAAAATATTGAAATTTAAATTAACGAAATTAAAAATTAAAAATTTATTTTATTATAAAACTCAAATCTTGAAATGTTTTTGTAACTGTCCCTGTTATTTTTTTGTTCTTTTCTTGTTCAATATGTTATTTATTTTTATTTTAATATAATGTAACTGCAGTAAAATTTTTCCTTTGCTGATTCATGTTACAAACCTCTGAAATCAAGAAGCTACTTAAAGCTTCTAGCTACCGGCTACATCTTCCAATCAAGAGGCCAAGATAGATCCTCTGGCCGGGACTTTATTGCTTTCACCAAAGTGAGAGACTCCCAGTCAATATGAATGCATCTAATTTCCAAATCCTATATGCCAAATCTCTGTTTTTGTTGAGTTTTCAAATATATATATATTTTAAAAATTATCCTCTTCACCTCTTATCGTCTTTAGTTAACTTTTTTCATATTTAGTCAAATTATTTTACCTTTTAAATGTACCTAATCTAGATTTTTTTTTTTTGAAAATAATTTAGATGTATTTAAAAAATAAAAATATTTATGAAAAATTTCAATAAATAGACAAAAGATACGAAAGTGTACAATTTCTTCTTCTTCTTCTTCTTGTCTTTAGTATTTTTTAAAAGATTTTTACATAAATATTTTACTTTTTAAATACAAATAGATTAAGTGAAAGTAAAAAATAAAAATATTTGATTAAAAAGTTCACTAAGGCTGTGTTGGATCACGAATTTTAGATAGGAATCTTCTATCTATTAAATAAAATGGAGTTTCTAACCATGAGATTCCAAGAGCTCCAAAACTTTAACCCAATTATGTTGAATTTTCAATTTTAAAAATAAATAAATAATTTGTAAGCCCAGAATATTTCTCCTACAATTTTACCTTTCCTATAATGAAAATGGTAATTTTTCTCACATTCTCCTATTTCCCTATAATAAAAATAAAATAAAATAAATTGGTAAAAAATCTATTCAAACAAATGTCTAAGGCATTAAATCTAGTGAATTTTTTTTGTTGATGAAAGATTCACACTTATAGTTTGGTAAGAAATCATAAAAGATATTTTGTTTTCAATTTTACCCCTAACCTTTTTATCTATTTGACTTTTCATTGACTATCTATTCAATTTTTTTGTTTATCTGTTCAAAATTTTGTCCAAATTTTATCTGTGTAATCTCTATGCAATTTTGTTTTCTATCTGTTGAAATACCAAGCCAAATCAAATTCTATCTGTTCAGATCTTGTTTTCTCCCTCTCTATCCCTATCTGTTGCATTATGTTTCATCACCATTCTGTTGCAATTTTTTTCTTCTCATGAAACAATAGTTTGAGAAAGAGAGAGAGAGAGAGAGAGAGCAAATGAATAACTCTGTATTAATCTGTAATTGTGTATTGAAGGAAGGCTCCAATTCTGATAATAGAGGCAGACAGTGGTCTGCTGGGTAAGTGATGGCCGATACGGAGGAGTGGCAAGAACAGAGTCCACATAATGAGTTTGGAGAGTACCGAGACGAATCTCCTCTGATAACAGCTCAGAAATAGCTTGTTCAAGAGTGGGCAATGGATGGAGATGAAGCAAAGAGGCACGTACGGGCTCAAAAGAGGAAGTAAGAGCCATGAGAAAGTGCACCAACCGTTGCTGATTACGATAGATAGTAAATAAAACAGCATCTTCTCGGTGAGGCGTAAGGGCGTCTCGATGAAGGAGGAACCTGTATCAAAATCATCAGAAAAGAGATCGATGGAAGGATCAGTAAACAGTACATTAGTGAAAAGTGCGGGTAAGTGAAAGGAGGATAGTGAGGAAAACATTTGGTGCTCCCAGAAAACGACATGGTAGGAGATACGAAGACGTTTAGAGAGAGGATCCCAACAGCGAAAGCCTTTATGTTCAATTCCATACCCAAGAAAGCAACAAAGAGGAGAACGAGGTTCAAGCTTGGTGTTCATGGGATTGAAGCAGAACAAAGCAGGCAGAGCCAAAAACCTGAAGATTGGTGTATGGAGGAGGGAGTGCCATGCAGACGTTCAAAAAGAGTTTGATTATGGATGACAGGGGTAAGGGAAAGCATCAACC